TATATATATATATATATATATATATATAAATTGTAATTAAAATTAATTATTAATTTTTTTTCTTTGAGAAATCAACTTGTTTCATTTAATAAAAAAATAAAACTAATTGAAAGCCAAAAACAAATAAAAATTGGAAATTCGACCAATTAACGTTAATTTAATGAACCAAATTAAACCATTTTAAAAAATAAAAAAATTAAATTAAACTGTAAAGAAATGAAATTGAACCAACCAAACAAATATGAAAATTAAATATATAATTAAGTTTTTTTTTTATGTTTTATTACAAAAATATAGTGTAACCTTTTTTTTTTCCTTTTTATACTATACTGTGTGATTTACTGGTAAAAGGTATATGTATAGATTCTTTGTAGACGGATAAACTCCATAACTTACATACCTAAAGTGAAAACGTACCACAAGAAGAAAAAGAGGAAGCCATTTTCATCTTCAAACACTTTCGTTCTATATTTTTTATTTTTCCACAAGTATCAAATAGATAAGAATATTTGAATACATTTCTCGAAAATTCTTTGACATTCATCGCATTATGACCCTAAGTGGAAAAAGGGTTGCGTCGTATGAAAGCACATGCTATCGTGTGTTGGTTTATTTGACTTCAAAGTGGTGTGTGATTTAAAAACATTTGAAACAGATGGTTGATTATATTTGACTTAATGCCACCACGATTTTTAGATTAGATTTGCAACAACCTAACAATAAAATATTCTTTCGTCCAATGAATAAAAAGGTTTTTGCTGAAATTGTCCTTTAATTTTCCATCCAAATATATATTATCTATAAGTTCTTTTTCCATCAAATATTGTCCTCCATATATTTAATGCATAATTAATTTTTTAAAATGATAAATAATTTAAATATTCTAAATGCACAGTAGATAATTCTAATAATAAAATAGAATAATTTTTGTGTTCCATGATTTTTATGAATAGTTTAGAAATGCCTAATTATTAAGGAGTGGAATGAGTTCTAAATGAACACGAAAGCCCATTCCTCCTATTTGTTCAATAGTGGGCCCATTGAAATTTTTATGGCGCGCATCAACCGACCAACACGTGTTTTGAGCCCACAACTTAGCCATTAAAAATTAAAAAATCAAAAAGACTATGCTACGGCACGGCACAACATTTTTAAGCAAGGCCAGAAGCAAGGAGCCAATAACGTCATCAAGACCCACGTGGGAAATCACCGATCGAGCGGGTACATGGTTCTGTCGTGGTCTGCGATGTACCGTATAGGAAACGTTCTCCTGTATAGCATGTTCGAGTGGTTAGTTACACACTCGCATCACGCACATGTGGTTGGCGTCTCGGTGTCCGCCACGTGGCGAAGCCGTTACTCCCGCTTTCGAATTTCATTCTATTATATCGATCAATCATTATTATACGCTTCCCAAACGCGATTTCGTAACGTGGCTTTTTCTGATTATTACTTCTACGCTTAAGTTGTTTACGTGTTGGCTGGCTGCTCAGAAAAAATTAGAGAGAGAAGGAACCGATTATGGTCTGGAACTGAAATACGAAAAAGGCAAAAGGAAGGGAAGAGAAAAAAGGGAAAAAGAAAAAGAAAAAAAAAAAAACAAACACACCCCAAAACTCAGGGATTCATTTTTGTTCGTTGCCTTTGAATGAAACCCTTCGCTGTATTATTATAAACGTGCGTTCTTGTGAACTGGAAGCAAAAGCAAGGCTCGCGGCATTGCTCTGCGAGTTTTGACTTTTAAGCGTCACCTAACCTTTTTCATCTTCTTCATTTTGCTTTTTAACAATTCAGCATTTTCTCGAATCTTCTGTTATTCCACCACTGTGCATCGCTGATTGATCTTCGTTGACGAATTGCAAATGCGCATCGCTGTGCAGGTACATTATGCCTCTTTCTTCTTTTCTTCTTCGGATTCTGATTATGATTCGGATTTGGAATGTTACTTCCTTCTAGAATCGTTTCGATTTGTTCTCTTTCATCGATTCATTTAGTGTTAATCGTTTTCGTTTTTGTTTTTTTGTTGCTGTAGAGTTTTGTTTGATTCAGAGTTGTGTGCCTGTAGTGTTAGTTTGAATCTGTTTCGGCGATGTGAAATTATGAATCTAGTATTGTTGGTTAGACGGATAATAAATGTAGGATTTTAAGTTTGTTTTATTTTACTACTTAGCGAAACTGATAGTGATTTACTGAACTGGTTTTGCTTCTTCTCTTTTTTTCTGGCTTTTGCACCCAGCGTTTTAGTTTTGTTTACTATTAATTTTTATCTCCTCTAGAATGGGAACTAAGTATGGTTTTGCGAATTTGATATCGGATTAACAAAATAGTGAAATTGAGCATTCGGAAGTGTGTTTGAGATAAAATATTTTGTGAATTGGTCTTACTTAGTTTTATTTGTTACAATTGACATGTTCTCCACCCCTTACATGTTAAGTCGAGTACTTATTTTAAGTAGGGGTGACTAAAGTAACTGATGTAAGATAAGTTCAAATTGTCGTTGTGGTGCATTGTTTTCTGAAGAACAATGGAATTATTTGTAAATAAATTCAATAATACGAGTTATGTTTTTTAGTGGTTCTAAACGCAACTTTTAAATGAGCTTTTTATTAGTACCTGATGGTAAGTTGGAAAAGGTATTGAGAAGTTTATGTAGCTTCACTCCAAGTAACTTTGCACACTCATCCGTAGTGCTCTTGTCAAATCCTTTATAACTTGTAAGTGGATAAGGTCATGGAGCTTGAATTTCCTTCATCACTAATTCGTATTATTGTTATTTTTAATTGTTGCCTCTCAAATTGCAAGTTGCATAGTGTATTGTTTCCTAAGATATTATACGGTGTGATATGAATTTTAAGCATGTATATTCGTTGGTCAATGTGCCAAGACGGTAGAATGTTGTCAAAGTAAATAATTCTTGCTTACAGTTATTTAATGTTCACTGCTTTAGCTCCCAGAGAGTGTGTCTGTTTTTTGATAGAACTTTCAAATGATTTATCCTTTTTTTTTCCATTTCGATCTTTCGTTTCTATGTACTGTTGCATATTGTGGAACAGTAAAGAATCTCATAGTTATTGACAGATATCATACTGCGCCTTAACAAATTAGTAAAAGAGATCTTTCAATTTTGCGTTGTTGAACCTGCTCAAAGAAATTCATTTCTTACTGAGATACTGGTCGGAATATATACTATTTCAGGTGATGGGCATGATTTGGATTTCTAATGTCTTTCTTACGGGGTGATGGGATGCGTCTACTTTTGAAGTACAGTGAGCAGGGATGGACATCAATGCTCTTCTAATTTCTGCTGGAATTAATATTGTTCTGTGTGTGGTGCTCTTTTCATTTTATTCCGTATTAAGAAAACAACCCAGCAATGTTAACGTATACTTTGGAAGGAGACTAGCTTCTCAGCATTCAAGACGCGTTGATCTCTGCTTGGAAAGATTTGTTCCCTCCCCTAGCTGGATACTGAAAGCATGGGAAACGTCTGAGGAAGAGATACTAGCTATTGGTGGCTTGGATGCTGTGGTTTTTGTGAGGATGCTTGTGTTCAGGTTGTTCAGTTCTTCAAAGATCGAATAGCTTTATTTGTGTGCCTTATGTTATTTTGATGAAGCTGAGCAAAAAAAATTGTTATTTTAACGAACGTTGTGATAGGGTGAATTGCTTAATTATTTGTGAATTTTATAATTTGAAATCTACCAAATTCTAACCTACCAATTATATTTAAAAAGCGTATCAAATAAAAAATTAAGTCTATAGCAAATTTGATTGTCCATCTTGTAACTTTACTAACTGTAATGTTGACGTTGTCTCCAACAGTATTCGAGTGTTTTCCATTGCTGCTGTCATCTGCCTTGCTCTAGTGCTTCCTATAAATTACCATGGTAGAGACAGAACGCATAAGCATATACCTTTTGAGTCGCTGGAAGTATTTACCATTGAGAATGTCAAAGAAGGTTCAACGTGGTAAGACTTAAGAGTTACATATTACTTCTCAATTATAGTGTTAATTATGTTAATTCAATTAGAATGGCTAATGATGCGTACAAATTGAGAAATACTATTGAAAATATTAAATTACTTGAAGTTTCATCACCAGTAATGAACTACGCTCTCAAAGAATAATGTCGATCTGCATTATCATTAGACTTTTCCTCCTCATGGATAAATAAACTACTCACAACTTTTCTTTACTGGGAAGTTTATTTGTGTTGTTTTTCCTCTCCCAAAACAATAAACATGAAGTGAGTGCAAGAAAATGCGACATTTTGAATTTCTATTGATCCAGACCGTTATGTATTGTGTTTTTTTTTTCTTTTTCTTTTTCATTTTAAGATGTTAATAGAGTGGTAATTAATGACCTTATGCAGAAATGCACCCCTAAACCAGTTACTTATATACTGTTTTTATTCTTTTGCATGTTGTCAGGCTTTGGGCTCATTGTCTTGCGCTATACATCATAACATTCTCGGCTTGCACTCTTCTGTACATTGTGAGGATCTGAACTTATCTACAAGATATGCACCTCTACCATTTTTAGTTTTACTTTTCCATGTCTTAAATATTGATTTGTCAGTGTTTATATTTAGGAATATAAGAGCATTACTAATTTGAGGCTACTGCATATTGTTGGATCACCTCCAAATCCAAGTCATTTCACAATTCTTGTCCGATCAGTTCCCTGGTCTTCTGAAGAATCATACTGTGAAACCGTGAAAAAGTTCTTTTCACATTACCATTCGTCAGCATATTTGTCACACCAAATGATTTATAAGTCCGGTAAAGTTCAAAAACTGAAGGTAGGCTTCTTAACTCCTTTAAATATTTTCATTGTCATTTGAGCGTCATACTGTTTGCTAATTTTATATTTATGTAAAGTTCATTTCTTAGATCACCATCACTTTGAGAAGTCATAACTGTCAATACGTGTTTTTCCAGTAGTCTATCTGTTTAAGATGATTATTTGGTTCAAGGTACCGAGAACCGAGATAAATGTTTATATGAAAACTAGAACCTACATGTCATTCATACTCTAACTCTATGCATTGGGAGATTATTTGTCTTTTTCTTTGTAGTGAACTTGAAGTTTTTGGTAATTCTGTCAAGTAGAAATGGAAGTTACTTTCTGCTTTTTGACATTCTTGAATTTACATTTAGTTCTCCCATACCATTATATTACCAGTTAGACTCGATGAAAATGAATATTAGGCTTTAAAAAAGTTGGTGTATAGCCAAAAATAAGATGTTAAGATAATGTGTGGCCGGTCACACAAGAAAAGACAAGATGTTTATACAGGGAGATATTGTTGTGAAATTCAACTATTAAAGTCTGTAGTTATTATTTTATTTTATGATCTTTAGCGTCATTTTTGGTTTCAAAAATATAAACTTGTAGTACTTGTTGACAGAACAACTATTTATACTATATTCTAATCTTCTTCCCTCAGGATGATGCTGAACATGTGTGTAAAGTACTTAAAAATGCTTCACTGGAAAAGACTTGTAAGCCTAGTTTTAGGCATTGTTGTTCTGGAGCATCAACAAATTCTTTCAAAAAGATTTCTAATGAAATGGATAGTGTTAATGGTGGAACGGACAATACTGACATGAATTTAGAAACAACGAAAAAGGTAATTTTTTTGGCTGGACTGGTTTACATTCCGTGGTTTATATTCTTATGTCATCAATTTTCTTTTTCATTATTTGACGTCGAAATACCATATTTGGAAATTGATAATGTGATCAGGATCTATTAACATTACTGTATGAAAAGAGGAAAAAATTCAACGTGACTTTACTTTTTGAATATAAGTCATTGCTACAATTCTTTATTTTTTCTTATTTGATTTTCAGTGATAAACAAGAGTAAATTTTAATTGTTGTAAGTGACCTGTACCCAATTTAGACAGGGCAAATTATAATTGAAACTAATTACTTACAGAAGTTTGTCCAAGCTTTAAAATCAAAAGTATATGTATGGTTGCCTTTTCAACGAGAATGTTGAAAAGGAAGTTCCTAGTGTGATATGGACGAACAAATAATCTTTAATATAGCTGCATTGTTTTAGGTCGTGAATTCGAGATATAAAAGCCATTTATGAAGCTATACATAATGGCTTAAGCTTCGTGGATTGATTGGTTCTTGACATGGTATTTGAGTAAGGTCTAGAGTAAGGTCCAATATAAGTGGTCTAGAGTAAGGTCCTTCCAACACCCATTATTTGTACCTAATATCCAATATGGCATACGAAATTAAGTAAACAAATAAATCTTATTATGTGAAAATTGCAATAGTAATTCAGTAAATAAATATGATTGCATGGTAGACTTAATGTTAGCATTGTTCATGTTTCTTATCTAAATGACTCCTCTGTGAATGAGTGTGCTACAGATAGCATTTCTGTTGCTATTTAATAGCTAGAAAAATGAAAATTTCGAGAAGAAAAAGTATACTTCTAGGTCAATTGACGTTTTCCAAATCAGGAGACATGAAGTGGTACATGTCTACTTGGTGAAAAATATCTGAAATGTTTTTTGGGGTTGAAAGTTCACTTTATATTTTGGATTGATTTGTGACTCTTTCAATCTTATTATTTGGGTTTTGAATTTATCCCAAATTTAATTTCTTGGGAGATTCAAAATATGTATGATGTTTACTATTTGTGTGTTAGCCACGTATTAGTTGAAAAAAAATATGGTGTCATTATAATTATTGTCCGGTTCTTCTGGGTGCATATATTTTATCGTTGTTTCTTATATTAAGGGATGAAATCCATGCCCCATTGTTTTTCTATTTTCATTTAGTAGCTGTAGAAGGATTTCAGGTTGTGATATGTCAACAAATGTTTTGTGTTCACTAGTTTGTAATTCATGTTGGACCTTTGATACAGGAATGTGCCGCTGCTTTTGTATTCTTTAAAAGTCGTTATGCTGCTCTTATGGCTGCAAAGGTGCTGCAGACACCAAATCCTATGTTATGGGTGACAGATTTAGCTCCTGAACCGCATGATATTTATTGGTCCAATATTTGCGTACCATATAGGCAACTTTGGATCCGTAAGATAGCTACACTTGTGGCCTCTATTGCCTTCGTGTTCGTGTTCCTTATCCCTGTTACATTTGTACAAGGATTGACTCAACTAGACAAACTTCAGAAAATGTTCCCTTTTCTGAGAGGGTTATTTAAAGAGTAAGATCTTGAGGCATCTATAAAGTGACTAATGTCATGGACTCCTATACTCTTATAACGACTAATTTTCTTTTTCTTTCACATGAATCATACTGCTTTAATTTACTTGATGAATGTACAACTTCATTTTAATAAAAAGCAATACAAATTTTAGTAATAAAAAGTACAAAAAAGAAATTGATAAAAATATCTGTAGTTTAAGAACAAGTAGCCACTCAACTAGTAAAACTATGTTGAGATACGTAACCACTTGAGGGATAAATTATTTTTGAACTATTTTTTCGAAAAATAAAAGTTGTTTGGAATTCTACCAAGCCTTAAAATACGATATTTTATCAGGGTTTAGCCTTTAGGTTATTGTCATGTCAGCTGCTTGTTTGAAGTGATACCGTAAATTCTTCTTCAGCTGCTTATTTATTATCTAAAATGCTATGAAGTTCACTGTAAATTGACTCATTTTTTTGCAGGAAAATTGTGAATCAGGTGGTGACTGGTTACCTACCAAGCGTGATATTGGTTTTATTTTTGTGTGCAGTTCCACCTATGATGATGCTATTTTCTTCTGTGGAGGGTTCTATTTCTCGTAGTGCAAGGAAGAAGAGTGCATGTTGTAAATTCTTGTACTTCACAATTTGGAACGTGTTTTTTGTTAATGTATTTACTGGTTCTGTTATCAGTCAGCTCTCAGTTTTTACTAGCGTAACAGACCTGCCTGCCCAACTTGCCAAGGCAGTTCCATCGCAGGTGATATATATCTTAGTTCCTACAAAAATAGTGTGATTTTTAATCTCTCAACCTTTATTTAGACTTATTCTCATATGTTAAAGTATTGTTATTGTATTAGAAATGATTTATATGCACTTGGATATATTAGGGATTTGAGTAACGCTGAATAATGTACACACTTGTTATCTTGATTCCCATCTCTACCCATTTTTGGAAGTGATAAATAAGTAACGCTTCTGTAGTTAGTAATTCATTTTGTTTTGGCCTTTTCATGGTATACAGGCTACTTTCTTCACAACTTACGTTTTATCGTCTGGTTGGGCGAGTTTGGCATGTGAAGTTATGCAAATTTTCCCTCTTCTATGCAATATTTTCCAGAGATTCATACTCAGACTTAAGGAAGATGCACTGGATAGCAGCATATCTTTTCCGTACCATACAGAAGTTCCAAGAGTATTATTGTTTGGATTCCTCGGCTTCACTTGTTCTATTCTGGCACCCCTGATGTTGCCCTTCTTGTTGTTCTACTTTTTCCTTGCTTACCTTGTTTACCGAAACCAGGTTAGTAGTAGATGTACATCTATCATGAGTTCATCTAATCTTTTGCTCATTATGAAGTTTATTGCGTTTATTGCAAAAAATTTTTCTTGTGTTTATTTTACGTTTTATCTAACCAACTATACATTATTACTAGATTTGGGTAGTGATTGTTTCCTAACAATTTATATTATTTGAGTGATTAGTTATTGAAGAAAATGTGAGAAGTTAATTGGTTGCAACAAAGATTTTTGTTTTGGGGAAAAAACAGGGCCAGGATCAGCTTAGTCTAGATTCTCATACGAAACAATTATAATAAAAATGAATTGACTAAGGAAGCCGAGAGTTATGATAACTTAATGATTATTGCTCGAAAGAAATTTTATTAGTAAAATATTCTCTTTTAAATGAAGAGATATGACCGAACGAAATGTCAATTATATTGAAAACTTTGATCATGATATATTATTTGCATGTAAAATTAAAAACTAGTTAATGGCATCATGATTTCTTAAAAAAATGATATTTTTCAAATTTATGAACTGTATAAACATGATTTAACTATATATATATATATACACACACATACAATCATATTCATATTTCTCATTTTCTTTAAACAAGAAGTATTCTATTGTGTGTGATATTCAAATCAACCTACTTCAGTCAAATTTTTTTAACTACAACTACCCAAATGGAGAAAAGAAAGGAAATTACTTGTGTATGACTACATCTTTACATTCAACTGTATTAATTTGTTTCTAAGATGCTAACCAAAATAAATGATGCTGTTCATTTTATGACGTTAAATGATGCTTATTTTACGTTCCGATTAATGACAAATGAATGGAATGGAATGGAATGAAATAAGATGGGATGAAATGGAATCCATTTCTTCCCGTGAAACACTGTCAGTGATTCCTTGATTTTTTTTTTTAACCGGCGCAAAAACCTTCCACTAAACATAATTTTTCTGTTCAGATTATCAACGTGTACATTACAAAATATGATAGTGGGGGACAGTTCTGGCCTATTGCTCACAACACCACCGTGTTTTCATTGATATTTTCTCAACTTATCGCGCTGGGGGTGTTTGGACTTAAACGCTCAACAGTTGCATCTGGATTCACCATTCCATTGTTGATTGGTACGCTTCTATTTCACCAGTATTGTAGGCAACGGTTTCTCCCAATATTCAAGAGCAATTCAGCACAGGTAAAACTTCCTTTCTCCCTGCCCCGATCCTCACGATCGCCCTTGTCTTTCATTCAACCCTTTTGAATTAATCAGGCTTGCTTTAGATTGTAATTGACATGGATATGAGAGATGAGCACAGCGGGAGGATGGAAGAGATTTATGAGCATTTACCTTTAGCCTACAGCCAGCCCAGTTTAATGGAAGATGCCTCAAGTCAACCCCAATGCGACAAACGTCACGAGGACATGGACAGAGGTCAATCTTCATCAGAAGATATGGAAACAGGTTTGTTTTAGTATTACGATTAAATTATACTGTGATAGCTCAAATTGCAAACCATATTCCTCCTCTTGGAATCTATGTATTAACTGTTTTAAAAACATTGACATTCCTTTTTCTTTTATTAAACTAATTTCTCTTCATTGCTTTAAAAACATTACATTGTGTACTTCCATTAAGAGTAAATGTTATAAATAAGATCATGTACAATCTGAAAAACTCTTGTGAGATGTCAATGTAATTCACTGATATTGTGATTTCCCTTTTTGAACGATTTTTATTAACATAACTTTTCTTGGTAGAAGGAAAATAAGGTGGAGAGGAAACAAATAGATGGAAAATAAAATGAGTTTATTAGATAGAGAAGAAATAGAAAAGAAGAGAAATAAAAAGGTGAGATTAACTCATTATATTTCCTCGATTTCTTATCAGTTTCCGTTCACCTATTTACTTTTTATCTATTTCTTTTATCTATCTTAAATTTAAACATATATTTTTACTTTATTTCTTAATTTTATCCTTCCTATTTGTTACTTACAATTTTGTTTCCTTTTCTCACAAACTGACCCTTGGCAATGTTTGTTTTTCACTCAGGCAAGGAACTTTTTAAAAAAGATAGACCACGCCCAGTACAACGCTCAGTGAGTTTGAACTCGGATAAATCTGTACTTGGTTTAAACCTATGAGTACACCGAAAATACTGTACATTGTATAAGAAATATCATGACGTGCACTAAAGGTGCCTGTGCACGAACAATTGTTCAAAATATAGATGAAGATCAGAGTCTCTTGAGATATATATGTTGTTCATTAATTTTTTAGTTGTAAATAGTTTTCTTTTAAAATGAGTTCAATTAAATGTAAATAGAAATGTAATAATACAACATTGTCATCAAAAGTGAAATAAATTGCAGAAAACTGAGAAATTGAGATACGGCAACATGCATATATCTTTAAAGGATTTTCAATTTGCATTAAGAAAAGGAGCTTCCAAATTAGTTTAGATTTAGACTCTGAAATTTGTGCGCCTATTTTATTGTTAGATTTTTTTTATTAATTTAAAAGTAGATAAATAAAATATATAAATGGTAATGCACAAGTATAACTTGCTCTTCTGCGGGTTGCATTGATTACTTGATATATTCATGAAGAACACCAGAAACCAAAAAGTGGAGTTTGCACGTAGAAAAGGAAACCTAATGATGTCCCAATCTGTATTATGTGCCAGTTAACTGTTCCATCAATATATCACGAAGTCTCCAAATTAGAGAAGTTACTATTTTCTTGTTGGTTCTTTGCATCTTCAATCAAATTTCTCCAATGCCACAAAACCTGCATCAGTCCCCCACTTCCGACATGCAAGAGAAATACACGAGGCAGTGTTGCAAACCATGAGGACATGATCTTCACAAACACAAAAATGAAGTACATTCCCAGAAGACGCCATTTCAAAACCTTCTCCTGTCAAGTACAAATCCATATGAAAAAGCAGAAAAACAAAGCTCATTAGAAGATTGTGATAAACACAGAAACAAACAAGCTAATGATGAAATACACAACAATTTCAAAATATACCTCAGATCTATGAAACAATTCTTGTGATATCTCCTTCAAGAAATCAGCCACAAGACAGCCAGCAAAGAGGCCAATAGGAATTATCAGTTCACGGTTTATGGACAACGTATATACAACGTCTGACACAAAGCTATAAATTAAAAACAAAACAAGAGACCATTTCCCTGCCTCTTGTGCAAGATTAAACAGTTTCTCTAGAAATATATGCTCAGCTTTTTTCCAAGGAAATTCTTGAACAAAGACTGGTATTGTTCCTTTGAGTTTCTCCCTCATGATTCCAATCTTCATCTTCACCTCATTGGGTTCATTATGCTCTGCCATTGATACATTGAATGATCTAGTTCGATTATAACTTCTTAGACGGGGAAAGTATATTTCTGAGCATCTGTGGAATTGGCAGGGTTGGCATTGAAACAGCTTTACCTACAAAAAAGAAGGGAACTGATTTACAACAAATGAATGAAAATTTCAGCCACTTACGTTATATCATACTTCATAAATTTTTAGGACTGCAACTTCAGTGGAATGGAATCGCCCCCCAGATAAAATTGGAAGGCTACTCATGAATTGTGGCAAATATAGCACAAACATTTTTACAGCAACAAGAACCATTTTTGACTAAATATTGAGGAGCCTTAAGCACATTTTACCCTTACTTCAAAAATCTTACCACTGAGAATGTATCAAAAACTAAACGCTTAACTAATTCCACCCATCACGTTTCAGTTAACTTTATTCATCATATCAAAGCAGGCCCCATTGTTCACCTTAAGTAAAATCTGCTTTGTAGTTTCTCAACTTAATTGGTATTTCACTATTTCTTTCTCTTCTTAACCGTTTTATGTCGACATTCTTCCTCTGAAACCAATTATTTCCCAAGAAAAAACTCAGGCATCTCTCTAGAATAAAAAATTCAGTCATAGAAAATCTTTGTCCTAATTTCTCTTTCTAGAATAGTACTTCTAAAACACAGTGCCAAAAACATTTTTCACTGTTTAATCACATTCAAATAGATAGCAAACAAATTTCCTCATACACAAAGAACATCACGATGCAACAAACTAAAGGTGACTTCATTACAACCGTGTTGATAATTTTGATCGAATTAAGAATGAAAAAGAAACTGAAAATTGATTCATATTTAAGACATCATTTCATGTTATTTACCAGTGAGACGATGTTTTAGTTGAAATCAAGAAATGTAATAATAGCATACCCGAAACGTGGGAGTTGAAGGAACTGCAAGCGAAGGCAAAATCGCCATGCTTCTCCGCTTCAGCTGCAACAACCCAATCCAGTTCCCTGCAGTGCAATTATTCATTAACCTTTCGTGTTTCTTTAGGGTTTTGCGTTCGGAGAGGTTTGGGCCCGGCCCAACTTACTTGTTGAAAGGCCCACCTTCGAGCCCGTAATAAACTGACAAGTTACATCACTTTGTTTGCACCTTGTTTTTGAGGGTTAATCTCTACGCCACCCTCACATTGCTTCCTACACTATCACATTTTTTTAAATTTTAAAACTATCTTTTATATTTTAAAATATTCTACACTCCCACCTCTTTTCTTAAATGGATGCATCCGTTGAAGAATATGCGGCATTCATTAAGTTTTTTTTTTTAGTTTTTAGTATTTTAATTTATTGTATTTTAAATTAATATATAAATATTATTTAATTTTTTTATATTATTAAATAATTATTTATAAATTAATTTGATTTAATAAAATAATTATTATTAATTTAATTTATATATTATTATTTAAATAATAATTAAAATGTTTTTAAAAATTTTATTAAAACAGATGTGTGACATCAGTTAACGGATGTGACGACATCTGTTAACGGATGTGACGACATCTGCAGTTTTTTTTTAGTTTTTTTGTTTTCTAATTTATTATATTTTAAATTAATATATAAATATTATTTAATTTTTTANTAACTTAATGATTATTGCTCGAAAGAAATTTTATTAGTAAAATATTCTCTTTTAAATGAAGAGATATGACCGAACGAAATGTCAATTATATTGAAAACTTTGATCATGATATATTATTTGCATGTAAAATTAAAAACTAGTTAATGGCATCATGATTTCTTAAAAAAATGATATTTTTCAAATTTATGAACTGTATAAACATGATTTAACTATATATATATATATATACACACACATACAATCATATTCATATTTCTCATTTTCTTTAAACAAGAAGTATTCTATTGTGTGTGATATTCAAATCAACCTACTTCAGTCAAATTTTTTTAACTACAACTACCCAAATGGAGAAAAGAAAGGAAATTACTTGTGTATGACTACATCTTTACATTCAACTGTATTAATTTGTTTCTAAGATGCTAACCAAAATAAATGATGCTGTTCATTTTATGACGTTAAATGATGCTTATTTTACGTTCCGATTAATGACAAATGAATGGAATGGAATGGAATGAAATAAGATGGGATGAAATGGAATCCATTTCTTCCCGTGAAACACTGTCAGTGATTCCTTGATTTTTTTTTTTAACCGGCGCAAAAACCTTCCACTAAACATAATTTTTCTGTTCAGATTATCAACGTGTACATTACAAAATATGATAGTGGGGGACAGTTCTGGCCTATTGCTCACAACACCACCGTGTTTTCATTTATATTTTCTCAACTTATCGCGCTGGGGGTGTTTGGACTTAAACGCTCAACAGTTGCATCTGGATTCACCATTCCATTGTTGATTGGTACGCTTCTATTTCACCAGTATTGTAGGCAACGGTTTCTCCCAATATTCAAGAGCAATTCAGCACAGGTAAAACTTCCTTTCTCCCTGCCCCGATCCTCACGATCGCCCTTGTCTTTCATTCAACCCTTTTGAATTAATCAGGCTTGCTTTAGATTGTAATTGACATGGATATGAGAGATGAGCACAGCGGGAGGATGGAAGAGATTTATGAGCATTTACCTTTAGCCTACAGCCAGCCCAGTTTAATGGAAGATGCCTCAAGTCAACCCCAATGCGACAAACGTCACGAGGACATGGACAGAGGTCAATCTTCATCAGAAGATATGGAAACAGGTTTGTTTTAGTATTACGATTAAATTATACTGTGATAGCTCAAATTGCAAACCATATTCCTCCTCTTGGAATCTATGTATTAACTGTTTTAAAAACATTGACATTCCTTTTTCTTTTATTAAACTAATTTCTCTTCATTGCTTTAAAAACATTACATTGTGTACTTCCATTAAGAGTAAATGTTATAAATAAGATCATGTACAATCTGAAAAACTCTTGTGAGATGTCAATGTAATTCACTGATATTGTGATTTCCCTTTTTGAACGATTTTTATTAACATAACTTTTCTTGGTAGAAGGAAAATAAGGTGGAGAGGAAACAAATAGATGGAAAATAAAATGAGTTTATTAGATAGAGAAGAAATAGAAAAGAAGAGAAATAAAAAGGTGAGATTAACTTATTATATTTCCTCGATTTCTTATCAGTTTCCGTTCACCTATTTACTTTTTATCTATTTCTTTTATCTATCTTAAATTTAAACATATATTTTTACTTTATTTCTTAATTTTATCCTTCCTATTTGTTACTTACAATTTTGTTTCCTTTTCTCACAAACTGACCCTTGGCAATGTTTGTTTTTCACTCAGGCAAGGAACTTTTTAAAAAAGATAGACCACGCCCAGTACAACGCTCAGTGAGTTTGAACTCGGATAAATCTGTACTTGGTTTAAACCTATGAGTACACCGAAAATACTGTACATTGTATAAGAAATATCATGACGTGCACTAAAGGTGCCTGTGCACGAACAATTGTTCAAAATATAGATGAAGATCAGAGTCTCTTGAGATATATATGTTGTTCATTAATTTTTTAGTTGTAAATAGTTTTCTTTTAAAATGAGTTCAATTAAATGTAAATAGAAATGTAATAATACAACATTGTCATCAAAAGTGAAATAAATTGCAGAAAACTGAGAAATTGAGATACGGCAACATGCATATATCTTTAAAGGATTTTCAATTTGCATTAAGAAAAGGAGCTTCCAAATTAGTTTAGATTTAGACTCTGAAATTTGTGCGCCTATTTTATTGTTAGATTTTTTTTATTAATTTAAAAGTAGATAAATAAAATATATAAATGGTAATGCACAAGTATAACTTGCTCTTCTGCGGGTTGCATTGATTACTTGATATATTCATGAAGAACACCAGAAACCAAAAAGTGGAGTTTGCACGTAGAAAAGGAAACCTAATGATGTCCCAATCTGTATTATGTGCCAGTTAACTGTTCCATCAATATATCACGAAGTCTCCAAATTAGAGAAGTTACTATTTTCTTGTTGGTTCTTTGCATCTTCAATCAAATTTCTCCAATGCCACAAAACCTGCATCAGTCCCCCACTTCCGACATGCAAGAGAAATACACGAGGCAGTGTTGCAAACCATGAGGACATGATCTTCACAAACACAAAAATGAAGTACATTCCCAGAAGACGCCATTTCAAAACCTTCTCCTGTCAAGTACAAATCCATATGAAAAAGCAGAAAAACAAAGCTCATTAGAAGATTGTGATAAACACAGAAACAAACAAGCTAATGATGAAATACACAACAATTTCAAAATATACCTCAGATCTATGAAACAATTCTTGTGATATCTCCTTCAAGAAATCAGCCACAAGACAGCCAGCAAAGAGGCCAATAGGAATTATCAGTTCACGGTTTATGGACAACGTATATACAACGTCTGACACAAAGCTATAAATTAAAAACAAAACAAGAGACCATTTCCCTGCCTCTTGTGCAAGATTAAACAGTTTCTCTAGAAATATATGCTCAGCTTTTTTCCAAGGAAATTCTTGAACAAAGACTGGTATTGTTCCTTTGAGTTTCTCCCTCATGATTCCAATCTTCATCTTCACCTCATTGGGTTCATTATGCTCTGCCATTGATACATTGAATGATCTAGTTCGATTATAACTTCTTAGACGGGGAAAGTATATTTCTGAGCATCTGTGGAATTGGCAGGGTTGGCATTGAAACAGCTTTACCTACAAAAAAGAAGGGAACTGATTTACAACAAATGAATGAAAATTTCAGCCACTTACGTTATATCATACTTCATAAATTTTTAGGACTGCAACTTCAGTGGAATGGAATCGCCCCCCAGATAAAATTGGAAGGCTACTCATGAATTGTGGCAAATATAGCACAAACATTTTTACAGCAACAAGAACCATTTTTGACTAAATATTGAGGAGCCTTAAGCACATTTTACCCTTACTTCAAAAATCTTACCACTGAGAATGTATCAAAAACTAAACGCTTAACTAATTCCACCCATCACGTTTCAGTTAACTTTATTCATCATATCAAAGCAGGCCCCATTGTTCACCTTAAGTAAAATCTGCTTTGTAGTTTCTCAACTTAATTGGTATTTCACTATTTCTTTCTCTTCTAAACCGTTTTATGTCGACATTCTTCCTCTGAAACCAATTATTTCCCAAGAAAAAACTCAGGCATCTCTCTAGAATAAAAAATTCAGTCATAGAAAATCTTTGTCCTAATTTCTCTTTCTAGAATAGTACTTCTAAAACACAGTGCCAAAAACATTTTTCACTGTTTAATCACATTCAAATAGATAGCAAACAAATTTCCTCATACACAAAGAACATCACGATGCAACAAACTAAAGGTGACTTCATTACAACCGTGTTGATAATTTTGATCGAATTAAGAATGAAAAAGAAACTGAAAATTGATTCATATTTAAGACATCATTTCATGTGATTTACCAGTGAGACGATGTTTTAGTTGAAATCAAGAAATGTAATAATAGCATACCCGAAACGTGGGAGTTGAAGGAACTGCAAGCGAAGGCAAAATCGCCATGCTTCTCCGCTTCAGCTGCAACAACCCAATCCAGTTCCCTGCAGTGCAATTATTCATTAACCTTTCGTGTTTCTTTAGGGTTTTGCGTTCGGAGAGGTTTGGGCCCGGCCCAACTTACTTGTTGAAAGGCCCACCTTCGAGCCCGTAATAAACTGACAAGTTACATCACTTTGTTTGCACCTTGTTTTTGAGGGTTAATCTCTACGCCACCCTCACATTGCTTCCTACACTATCACATTTTTTTAAATTTTAAAACTATCTTTTATATTTTAAAATATTCTACACTCCCACCTCTTTTCTTAAATGGATGCATCCGTTGAAGAATATGCGGCATTCATTAAGTTTTTTTTTTTAGTTTTTAGTATTTTAATTTATTGTATTTTAAATTAATATATAAATATTATTTAATTTTTTTATATTATTAAATAATTATTTATAAATTAATTTGATTTAATAAAATAATTATTATTAATTTAATTTATATATTATTATTTAAATAATAATTAAAATGTTTTTAAAAATTTTATTAAAACAGATGTGTGACATCAGTTAACGGATGTGACGACATCTGTTAACGGATGTGACGACATCTGCAGTTTTTTTTTAGTTTTTTTGTTTTCTAATTTATTATATTTTAAATTAATATATAAATATTATTTAATTTTTTAAAAATTATTACTTAATTATTTATAAATTAATTTTATTTTATTTAATAAAATAATAATTATTAATTTAATTTATGTATTATTATTTAAATAATAATTAAAATATTTTTAAAATTTTATTAAAACGGATAGTTCTTTTTTTAGTTTTTTGTTTTCTAATTTATTATATTTTAAATTAATATATAAATATTATTTAATTTTTTAAAAATTATTACTTAATTATTTATAAATTAATTTTATTTTATTTAATAAAATAATTATTATTAATTCAATTTATGTATTATTATTTAAATAATAATCAAAATATTTTAAAAAAATTTATTAAAATGGATGTGGCACATTCGTTGAAGATTTTTTTTTAAATAAAAACAATAAACCAAAATATAAAATATGTAAACGGATGTTAACATCCGTTTTAGAGCAAGAGTAAAATAGGTATGGAATGATGTAAAGAGCTTTCGATGGCGGTGGTGGTGGAGAGAACAACTCTTCTTGTTTTTTTCTTACATGCTTCTTTTGCTTTTGTCAAGTTACTTCAATGTTTATGTTGAATAGTTTTGCACTTCATCACAAATGATCATAAAAATAAGCAAATTTATATATTTCAAAAAATATATTTTAAAATATAAAAAATAAGAAGCATGAAGAAAAATAAAAAAAAGGAGGTGCAAAGAGAATAAAAAAATTCTACAAATAAAGTCTCCCTGATTTGGGATTTTTCTTCCTTTTCCTTCGCACTTTCTTCTTTCATTCTCATAATATGCAAATTACCAACTTGCTTTATTTGCAATAAAGTTTTATGATATAATTTTATTAGAATTACTCTTTTAAAGATCAAGCTTATTTGAGTTGATAATTTAAATATTTTTATTTAAAATTTTAAAAATAAAAAAGACAAATAAATATTCAACCGTGTTAATTAACGAATACATACATACATATATACATATACATACATATATACATATACATACATATATACATATACATACATATATACATATACATACATATATACATATACATACATATATATATATATATATATATATATATTAATTAAGAGTTAAGATAAACCCATCTCACACTTACTTTAAGTCTTATAACTACATGTGCTTAAAACCTCTTATCCAAAAATAAATAAATAAATAAAAGAGCATGAGAGAAGCTGTCGTTTGGCTGTTGTATTGGTTTCAATCACTGACGAAATTAATATATTATTTTGAATGTTAATTATGATTTTCTTTAAGTTAAGTTTTTATGTCTTTGGTTTTATGTCGTAGGATTGTTCTCTCTCGTTTCTTCTGCTTTCGGGATATTCCCTTTCACTTTACAGAACCCTCATATTCACACATGCATTAACTTTAATACTTTTTCCTTAATACAATATATAAATACGGATTAACCTAACAAATCTTTGTTTTGCTCCATCTGGCAGCTTTCAGTTTCTGTTGCTAGCTTCCGTATGTAATATGCTTTATCACTTTAATTAACATAATTAACCATTCACATTACATATACATGCTTGTTAATAAGAAAGACCAATTTACACACAAAACAAGTCAGTTTTCTAACTAATTAAACTTAAACATGCTTCCTAATCATAATAGGGTATTATAGGAACTTATTTCAATAACTTTACTTACAAATATTTAATTTTATGTTTAAGATATATAAGTCAATATTTCTTATCATTAATATTAATATATGTTATTATTGTATTGATAATTAAATTGTTTTGGGTGAGATCTCTTCCTCTAAATACTATTTTCTCACCAATAACATTTTAACTTAAAATCTCCGAAATGAAATTCATTTTTTGTCCATCAACAATATATTGACTTTTTCGTATTAACCATTTTACTACAACAAAAATGACATGTATCTCCATTTACTATTACGTTAGTATAGGTAAAAGTTAATTTTTTTACCTATATAGACATTAAACATAGGTAAAACTCTCACAATACTTAAATTGCAATATTTAATTAATGATAAAATAAAAATATATTATACTAGTAAGATGAAGCCACAAAATTCAAATATTTATTATATATATTAATTTATTGACAAACATTATTAGCATTTTCCTAAAGCAAATCCCTTCCTTTTCTTTAGTGCCTTTTACATCTTGTCAAGTGATAAAAACAAAACCATAAACTATGTTCCAAGCTAACTATAATTATGAGGGCAACATATAGTTTTATTTGTTAACTAATACTATATAATTGAGGTGCCCGAGTCTATTATATGGACCCCAAATATATATTATATTATATTATATAAATATTTGATGCAATTAGATAGTGCTGTAATCAGCTATAACGGCCAAAGTTTGAAACTACAGAAAAAAATAATAATATTATATTAATAGTGAGTGTCAAATTATGTCTAAGTGTCAACAAAACCCTAACAAATAATGACCATGGCTTACCAGAATATCATCATAGTCAACCAAAATT